GGACATCAGTTCATTTAGCTAGTTTTATTACCATTCATCAATGCCTTAGCTATTGACACTGCATGTCTTAGTCTTTTCTGATTGCTAGGATAAAATACTCTACATCCAAAGTTAAGGAGGAAAGGTTTATTTCAGTTTACAGGTGTCGAAGTTTCCATTCATAATCAGCTGGCTCCAAGGCAAGGTGGTAGGCAGAAGACAGCAAAAGCAAGCAGGCAAGTGATCAATGACTAGCAGTAAGCGACACGGAGCACACTAGCCCTCTTTCTGTCTCTTATATTTTTATCTCTCAGTTAAATTTTTTGTCCCTTGTATTTATTCACAATCATAGCATCACACCATAAATCAATCCCAGCCTCACATCCTTGATGCCAGCAGCACACACTGTAGGTCCAGCCACCCCAGAAAAGCACCACTTATGACATGAGGCTTTGGGGGTACGTCTAGACATAAGCCATAACATTTTGCCCATGGCTTCCCAAAGACTCATGTACATCCCTTTATGCAAAAGGCATGTAGTCCATTTCCAAAAGTTCCCAAAGTCCTAACAGTGTCAGCATTTCTAAAAAGTGTAAGTCCAAAGTCTCCCCTGAGAGTTAAGGCAAATGCTTAGCTGCAAGTTCTCACATAAATGAAAAAAAGTAAAACACTTCAAACATACATTGGCACAAGATAGACATTTCCATTTCACATGGTACAAAGAGGGGATAGGAAGGAATGGGAACAAAGCAAGTCCAAAATCCAGCACGGCAAACGTTAAGTCCTGTAGCTCCACCTCCAGCATCCAGGGCGATCTGTGGCAAGACGTGAAATTCAAAGATGCTTACTGCATTGCTGATGGTTGATGGTTCTACATTTACTGCATTGCTGGTGGTTGTAGCTCCCATGCATCTCTTTTGGATAGGCTCTGCTCTCTCTTTGCAGTTTGCCTCAGAGGGTCTACATTTCTGCCTTCTCCAAACTTCTGGGATCTCCACTGCACCTTTGGCTTCACATTCACAGCTTCACACATGTCCTCTCAGGGGCATACTGCCTAGCTTCCAGGCTTTCTGAAATTGGGGTGGCAGCTTTCCTATCCCCACAACTTTTACATTCTTAATACACCTAAAACCAGCACCACATGGATGATGGCAAGGTCTGCTGCAGCTGGAACAGTAGCCAGGCTTCCTTTTCTCTTGGCTGTAGAGATAGAAAGCCTATGAACCAAATCCCAAGGAACAACTTTCCTAAGCTGCCACCATTCTGGAACATGGTTCTCTGGAGCTGTCTTCTCAAAGCAAAGTCT